TCGCCCGGTGGGCGGCGGGCACAGCCCGGACGCCACGGCCACAGCCGCCATGCGGGCGGGAAGGCGGTGGCGGCTCCGCACCTCAGCGAGGAGAAGGCACACGCGCCTCAGCACTGCGCAGGCGCAGACCGACTCCGGCATCCCCTCCGTTACCCCCCTCCGCCGGTCGCCCATTGGCTGGTGAAGCACACCCGCGCCACAGAGCCAACCAGAAAAGGTAAATAGTGCCAGCACGTGCTGGGGGTGGGGAGGAGGGCAGGTTGGTGAGCCAATCACAACTGCCAGCCCGTCTCCCTCCCTCCCCGAGGTTATATAAGGCCGCGGAGGGGGCGGTGCTTTCTCCGTGAGGGAAGGGCGCTGGCGGCCATCTTGTCCCGGTGCGGCGCAGCAGCTGCAGCACCGGTCGCGTTCCCGGAGCGCTGAACGGGCCCGGCCCGGCGCTCTGCCGCCAGCAGCCATCCCTGGGGCCCCCGGCCCGGCCCCGCTGCACCGCCGGCAGGGCGCGGCCCCGAGCAGAACGAAACAACACGTCCAGTACAAGGCCCGTTTCCACCGTGGAGCCTATCCTCCACCCTCGATCCATTTCATATGCTAATCCAATTATAAAAGCATCTCAGCCAGTGATTAATCCGGCCCAAGTAATGAAAAATCAACGTTCAGCTAACTCCCTGAGGGCTTTCCATCTTGCCTGAGCATGAGGGAAGGAGGGGCTGCACATTGGCAGGGCCGCGGCAGGCAGGAACCAGGTCTCGGCAGCAGGTAGCTAGCAAACCACCATCTCTGCAGGGCAGAGTTCTCGGTAATTCGGAGTAGTGGGCAAAACTGGAAAAAACTCAACTTTAACCTTGACATAGTGGATCTTGGATTGAGTCAGGGAAAGCCTCCATTGGGAGAGTCTGCATGGGAAATTAAAGAGAGCAGCCACAACCAAAGTCAATGTTTCAGGAATGCATTGGGGTCTACCATCTCTAGTCTCTTCTAGCCAACGTCCTCCTGAATTATCCTTTCATAGTTTCCTGCAGAATAACACCGCGAGGCAGAATACCAGTGAAGCAGGGTTAGCATGAGAGCACTGGGAGAGGAATCCATTCTCTAGAAACCACCACCTGAAAACCACGCAAAGAAGTGGCAGAGAGCTCCCAAAGCGCACAGACCACCAGAAGAAACGTAAAGACTGAAGAAGCAATGCTTCCACACAAGCTCATCAGAAGGTGGGATGGTTCATGTTATTTAAAGAAGGGACAGTAATACTTTTATTTGAAGTTTTATTGAAAAATGGTCACAGAATTAGCTGTTGTACCCTATAGTGTTGTATTAGGGGTTTGTGTCAGCTTGATGCATCGATGTAGAGATTGAGAACATAATTTCTAAAATGTTTTTTGGTTAAATGTTTTTGCTAAAGCAATAAGCCAAAAGCAATGTTCAAGAATTTAATGTTCACAATTGTCTCATTTGCCCATGCAAAACCTCTTTCCAAAGGTTCACTTTACAGTACAGCTGCAGCTGCAGAGATAGTGTCATTGCTGGTCATACTCTCAGGCCAGTGTAATTCAGAAGAAAACTGTATCCATTTTAACAAATATTAGACCACAAAAAGGTGCCTGAGACAAGGCAAAAAAATGGAAAAAGAAGAAGAAAAAGAGCATTCGAGAAGGTAAAGAGGAGGTGGTTTTTTCCAAGATTCTTAATGATCCAGTCCACTTCCAAGGAATTAAGATTTTTCTATTTCTAATATTAATGTTTAATTGGGAACAGATTGTAAAGTTACTTCATACAGTGAGATATCATTGGGTGTTTTATAACTATTTCATATTGGGGGCTGGGGGAAATCATGGAATTGTTTAGGTTGGAAGAGACCTTCAGGATTGAGTACAACCATTAACCGAGCACTGCCAGGTCCACCACCAAACCACATCCCCAAGCGCCACGTCTACCCCCAGGGATGGTGACTCAACCCCTTCCCTGGGCAGCCTGTTCCAATGTTTGATAACCCTTTCAGTGAAGAAATTTTTCCTAATATCCAATCTAAACCTCCACTGGCACAACTTGAGGCTGTTTCTTTTTTCCCATTGCTTGTTACTTGGGAGAAGAGACCGACCCCCACCTCACTACAACCTCCTTTCAGGTAGCTGTAGAGAGCAATAAGGTCTCCCCTCAGCCTCCTTTTCTCCAGGCGAAACACCACCAGTTCACTCAGCCACTCCTCATAACACGTACATTTTTTTCCTGACCAGCGCAGAACTTGGCCCATGTAACTTTTTTAATATCCCAGAATTACCCACATCTTGTCATGTCTCATCATGAGAACCGTAAAGAGATATTAGAAATGAAAGCATTCAGTTTCATATAAAAAAATTAAGACATGATGTATTATCTGCTGACAATCCAGTCTAACAACTTCCATTAGAGGCACTTTTTATATTTTTTTAGCAGCTTGACTGCAAATTTCTTTCACAACTCTTGGACTTAATTTAAAAAGCAGTTTATCACTTTACTCCAGTATCTACTTTTCTGACATTTAATAGGTTATCCAGATCACCAGCAGCTTTAAAAGGTACAGCAGGGAATTTCAACATCCTCCTTCGCAACAGAGGGGATCAGGAAATAATCTTTCTTAGTTGTTCCGTTGATTACAACTAGTGTTCGAGCCCAGACAGATTTTGCTTTTTCGGGTTTGTGATTTTTTTTTTAAACCGGCTTCCTGCTTCTAGTGTCTTTAAAATACTTTTTTTGTTGGTTTTAATAAGTTAAGTGAGCTGTTAATCAAATTCCATCTTGGAAGTTGAATTTTTCTTATACATTGGTTGTTAGCCTGTGTTGATTGGCTTCAGCAGAATCTCACCTTTCCAATTATGAAATAATTGAGCCTGAGTCAGAAGAGCTCTTAAAGCATGCTGTTTAGCTAGATTGGTTTACTTGCTGCTCTGTGTCTTCTTTGGGTAGTTACATTCACTTTCTCAACAATTTGGTTTCTGTAAGTGATCCCTAAGCTAAATTCAGTTATTTCGTATTTGACTTTTACTAAGCTACAGCAGTTTGCCTTTAAGACTCCACATCACTGCAGCAGCTGTTGGTAGCATCCCATGGAGGAAAAAAAAAAGATTCCTGACTGTCTAGTGACAATGATGAGCTCAACAATTGCATTAATGACAACTGAGTATTAATGATAACTGACTTTGTAAGCAAATACTCACAGTAACTTTTCAAGTTAATCCTCACAGCTTTTCTAAAAACTGTACTAACCTTTTAATATAGAAAAAGTCTAAGAAAGCTTGAAATAAAATGGAAATTCTTTCCTCTATGCCACCATATTTTTCAATATCCTCCAGGTATTGTGACAGAAAGAGGAGCAATCGGTGTGAGCTCTTCTGACAACAAGCTTCTGTAAAATTACATTAACATAATATTAGGCCCTTTGTCTTTAGGACTATAACAAGAAAAAAAAAAAAAGCCAAGTATAACCACACACAGAATGGTATGAGCAAGCCTGCAAGATGGTCTAACGTAACTGGCTTGTAAAGGTGTTAGATCTTAAAAGGTCTAAAAAGAATATCAGCTACTCATTTAATTCATTGAATGAGAGTTACAATGTCTGGGTTGTAATCAAAGAGAGTAAATGAAAATCCATTTAAAAAGGATATTCTACCAGAATTGCAAGATTACTTCGTTGCTTGCACTCATTGAAAACTGAACAGTTTTCAGTCTCAAAAACCAGAATCTTTTGTGTGTGTGTGTGTGTTCTTTTTAATACAGTATTTTCATGATCTGTTAGGAACTTCATTTGGGAAAGAGACATATTGACCGCGTACGTCTCTAGTCTCATTTAAGGTTGAGCAATGGGGATGTCTTTTTTCCTAAAGCAACACCGTCCCTCAGATGGTGCTGACCCCTCGGCACCTTTTCTGATAACTTTTAAACCTGCTAATTAGTTTCAAATAAACTCAACAGAGGCATTTAAAAAATGCAGAGATACCAAGTCCTCCTGTGGAAAAGGGGAGTAAAATCGGCTCCCTTCCCACATGCGGTGCTGTAGGCTCAAGCAGTCTGGACACAATGGTCACATACTGATTTTCATGGTTTTTGCACTGCTTGTTTGTTGTACAACTGAAGGTGAAGGGACATAGGCAGAAGAGAGGTTAATGGAAGAGGGGCAGTTTAGGGCATATGGCTGGGGAAAATACATGGATTTTTAGGCGTCTAGAGGAAGATCTAAGGTATGCCGGGTGGCGGATGGGACAGGAATACAGGGAGGAGCTGCAATGGTTGTACAGCAGTTTGGTTAACTAGAGGGCAATAGACAGGAGACTGTTTTCTGTTAGTTCTGCTGGACATGGTATTTTTAAGGGTTTGGGGTTTTTTTGGTTTTGGTTTTTTTGGTTTTTTTTTTTCAGAACAGAAATAGATTATTAAATAAGCACAGCTTGGCAACAAAAAAAGAAAAAATCAAAATACTGTCCATGGTTTTTAATCTTCATTTTACAGTTACAAGGAGTGATAAACTGTATTTAGATCTTGTCTAAAAACAGCCTTTGCAGCATCTCTTAGGTTACTTGGAAAAGAGATTACAAAGTAATAACTAGTAAAAATATTGTAATCGGTAGGAAGCAAGTAGAGAACTATAATTAAGTGATCATGCTTTAGATGGCTTGACATATTCTCTACAAAGTCATTGTATTAAAGCAATTTTCCATTCTAAGCCCCCAGAAATGAACTGCTTTACTTGTTACTTAACAGATGACTTTTGAATGATTATGCAGGCTTTTTAAGCTAAGCTGGTAATAATGGCAGAAGTTGCTCCCTTTATCTTAACACTTTCTTTTATTGTCCTTGTCCTTATCTGTAAATGCTACAGGGGGATGAAGATTACCCATTAACCTTTTGGCCTTCAGAGTCTACAGAAATAACTGGACTTCACACTCCATCTTCTGAATAAAGGTGCAGTAGCTGGAGACCCCTAAGCATCTACTAGAGATGCCAATTTTCTACATTCTTTGCCACTTCCTCCCATCCCGCATGTGTTCTTCACTCTGTCTTACCTGGACTTTTGGTTCTGCGAGCAGGCAGATAAATTTTAGGGAAATTCTTACCCTTAGATGACTTCCTTTCCATCATGTTTTGGCTTATGTCCTTTGTACAACTGACATGAAAATAGCTGTGGCCTGCAGACCACAGTAAGAAACTGAGAAATTCAGTAAGCTTAAATCATCCTGGGCATCTCAACGCTTCTCAGTGAAGAAAGCTGTTAACTAGTAAGAACATTTTCAAATGTCATTTCAATCTCACTGAAACAAAGCTTTTCTTGGCATTAGTACTCTGAAAGGTTTATTCTATAAATACATGGATGATAATGAAAAATCACGGTGAATAGAAAAGGCCAGAAAAACAAGTGAAAAACTCTGCATGCAAATAAGCTGTTAGGTAGTAATTGCTAAAACCCCTATCAAAACCACTTTGAGTTTAATGTTGTATTACCACACAGAACTTAAGACTTTAAAATTTTCTATAGTTTTAAGTCTACCTTTTCCCACGTTTGCCTTGCTGTCCAAGTTCACGTTGCCAGAGAATCAGTAACACAATGGCAGATCAGCACACCCAGACTACAACTATTTTTTCCTCATTTTATCAACAGCACCATTCCCTCATAAATTAAGCTACCCTCATCACACATTTGCTGCTAACCATTAATGCAGCTCACCATCGCACCCACACAACTCCAGCATTTTGTAGAAAGCAGAGATGCATTTTGGCTCGTGGCTGTTGAGAACCCGAGCGTTAATAAGTCCTTGCGCACTCCTGCTGACCTGCCTTCTCAGGGCAGCACTGTAAGACTTCCACGCTATTTTACGTGTTGCCACTCAGTATCTTTGGGCAGTGTCTGGAACAAGCGTTTAATTAGGTGATTATTACAAATGAGGGCCTTAGTAACACAGGGGACAAACACCGCTTCTCTTTGCCCACGTTAGGATTATTCCAGCGAGGAGCAACGATGAGCCTTGTGCCGCACTGAAGGAGGAACTAGCCCACTCCAGTTTCAGTCCGTAGTAAGCCTGCTCCAGAAGGACAGTGGGCACCCGCACCACAGATACTCAGCGGATCTAACTCCAACCAGTAAGTGAATACTTAAGATCAGGAGTAAGTTTCTACCTATAGATACATACAGCAAGTTGGTTAAACATTAACACGGTTGTTACAGCTGGTGGCTGCTTAGCACGCTGATAATATTAACGATGCACGTGGCTTCCCCCCGAGTCGGGCACAGTGTTTTGGAGGCTGGCTGGCAGATTGCCCGTGGCAGATTGCTCCACGTTTTCCTGCTGCCAGCAGAGGCAACGGCCTCACCCAAAGATGGAGACCGAGCTTCAGTCCAGACAGAACAGCTTTATCGTTTCCGAAACCATCGGTGCTGGCAGCCTCTGCCGCAGAGTCCCGCAGGAAAGGCACCCCACACCCCGGCCCTACACCCAGCCGGTAAACCCGGCCCCAGCCCGGGCCGGCCCGCCCGTCCCTTCGGGCCCCGCCCCGCCCGGGCTTCCGGCCCCCGGCCCCCCCCCCCCCCCCGCCACTCCCCTCCCGGGCACCGCAGCCGGTCTCTGGCTAGGAAGGGCGAAACTCACAGGGAACGGCGGCCCGGCCCTGCTGCCCCACGGACACCCGTGTCTCCCCGTAACCCCCGAGCTCCGGGGAACCGGTCCGGGCCACAGCCGCTTCTTCTCAGGGCTGCATACCGCCGGCAGGGCGCTGAGGCGGAGTAGGCCACACAAACGGCCGGGACCGGGGCCGGGGCCGGGGCCACGGGGAAAGGCGGCCGCAGCGCCCGGGCAGGCCGCGCCTCCCATTGGCGCCAGGCGTTGCCGTAGCGACAAGTCCCGCCCCGCGCGGCCTCACGCTCTCGTCCCCTTCGCCGGTTGGGGGGGGGGAAGGTGGGTAAAGCGAGCGGGAGGTTTCACATCCGGGGGAGGGAGGCGGAGGAGACGGCGGCGGCAGTGGAGTGGTGCCCCGGAAGCGGATCGCGGGGGCTCTTGGGAGTTGTAGTCCGAGCGGCGGCGGACCGGCGCCAGAGAGTTGGTTGTGAGGAGGTCGGTGTCGGGGAGCGGGACCGGCGCCGCTCCGCCCGGGGAGGGGAGGGGGGGGGCTCGGTCTGCGCGGTGCGTGGAGGGACCGCGGTCGGGAACCCGCCGTCGAAGGCCGGGTGGGGGGGCTGCGGCCTGAGGAACAAGCGGCGGGAGGAAGGGGAAGGAGGGGGAGGATGGCTCCGAGCCGGAGCCG